TCTTGGCGCATGTGTACGAACAGTAGAGCCGTTAACAAGATCACCGTAAGGTATAGATTCCCTATTCCCCGTCTGGATGATATGTTGGATCAGCTTAGTGGAGCAAGAGTGTTCACAAAGCTAGATTTAAGAAGTGGATATCATCAAATCCGTATAAGACCCGGGGATGAATGGAAGACCGCCTTCAAGACAAAGGAAGGGTTGTTTGAATGGCTAGTCATGCCATTTGGACTCTCAAATGCACCAAGTACCTTTATGCACTTAATGAATCAAGTCCTTAGACCCTTCTTATCCCACTTTGTTGTGGTCTATTTCGATGACATCTTGATCTATAACAAGGATGAGGATGAACACTTTGATCACATTCGGAAGGTGCTAGAAGTACTAAGGAAAAATGAGCTCTACGTCAACTTGAAGAAATGTGTTTTCCTGCAAACACAACTTCTTTTCCTAGGATTCGTCATAACATGTGACGGCATTCGTGTTGATGATTCTAAGGTTGAAGCAATCCGAGAATGGCCAACTCCTAAGATCATTTCTGAGGTAAGAAGCTTTCATGGCCTTGCAACTTTCTACAGGCGATTTGTTAAGAACTTCAGCACTATCATGACACCAATTACCGAGTGTTTGAAGAAAGGAAAGTTCCAATGGGCAGAAGCAGCTGAAGCTAGCTTCAATGAGATTAACCAAAAGCTATCACAAGCTCCTGTCTTGGTACTACCTGATTTCAACAAGACTTTTGAGTTGGAGTGTGATGCAAGTGGAGTAGGCATTGGAGTTGTCCTATCTCAAGAAAGGAAACCTATTGCTTTCTTTAGTGAGAAGTTAAGTGAAGCTAGACAGAAATGGAGTACCCATCAGCAAGAATTATACGCCGTTTTCAGAGCGTTGAAAACTTGGGAAGTCTATTTGCTGCCTAAAGAGTTCATTGTTTATAGGGACCATCAATCCTTGAAGCATTTTAGAAATCAAAGGCATGTTGACCGCATGCTAGCAAGATGGGCAGCATATCTGGAGAGATTTAACTATCTCATCGTGCATAAATCTGGAATAACTAACAGAGTGGCTGATGCTTTGAGTCGTCATGCATGCCTCTTGACTTCTTTTGAAGCTGAACTTGCGGGCATGGATCAAATAAAGGAGTTGTATGAGGGTGACGAAGACTTTGGCCATGTTTGGGTAAAGCACACAAGGGGCCAACCATTAGGTGATGACTATTTGATGCAAGATGGATATCTCTTCAAAAATGATCGTTTGTGCATTCCAAGAAGTTCTCTACGTGACAAGCTGGTTAGAGAGCTCCATTCAAGTGATCTTAGTGGCCATGTTGGACGCGACAAGACTATCGCTAACCTGGAAGCTCGCTACTTTTGGCCACAACTAAAGAGAGATGCTGGAAAGTTCGTTCAACGGTGCCCCATATGTCAGACCTGCAAAGGCCAAGTCCAGAACACAGGGTTATACATGCCTTTGCATGTTCCTGTCGCTCCATGGGAAGACATTTCTATGGACTTCGTCTTGGGCTTGCCAAGAACAAGACGAGGAAGTGATGCTGTATTTGTGGTCGTGGATAGATTCTCTAAGATGGCTCATTTCATCCCATGCCGCAAAACAACGGATGCTCATCATGTGGCAAACCTATTCTTTCGAGAAGTGGTCAGACTTCATGGAGTACCAAGGTCCATCGTCTCAGACCATGATAGCAAGTTTCTTGCTGCATTTTAGCTCACTTTGTGGAAGCAATTCAACACTGAAATGAAATTTTCTAGCACTGCTCATCCACAAACAGATGGACAAACGAAAGTGGTGAACAAGTTTTTGGGTAATCCGATCCGTTGCATTTGTGGAGAAAGAAAGGGACAATGGGATTTGGCTTTATCTCTTGCAGAATTCTCCTACAATAACTCCAAGCATAGATCCACAGGAAGGAGCCCCTTTTCCATTGTCTACACTAAAGTTCCATCACATGTGGTGGACCTGGTGAAGCTACCAGCAAGGGGAACTCAAAATCAGCATTGTCCTTTGCTGATAATTACACCGAGTTATTTGAAGAGATTCGTGGTGCTTTGGAAGCACAAAATTAGAAATATAAACAACTTGCTGATTGCAAAAGGAGGCTAAAATCATTCCAAACCGGTGATAAGGTGATGGTCTACCTTCGAAAAGAGAGGCTGCCTTTAGGTGTTAAAGGGAAACTTAGGCAGCGAAGGTATGGGCCCTTCTCTATCGTGAGAAGATAAATGATAATGCTTATGTGATAGATCTTCCAAGCGATATGGGTATCTCCAACACTTTCAATGTTGCGGACTTGACTCTCTACCATCCAGAAGAAGCGCACTATGAAGATAACTCGAGGGCGAGTTCCAAACAAACAGGGGAGAATGATGAGAAACAGTAGATGAGGAACATAAAAATATAATTATATATCAAATCTGTTTGGCTACTTCTAAATACTTCTGTTGTGGTCTAGTATTTCTTTTTTTTTCTTTATCCTACCTACTGTTTTCTAGAGTCTTCTAGTTGTGAGTAGCCATGAGTAGAATGGTGAACCTTAAATAATGTTTCTAGAGTATTCCAGCTATAAGTAGAAGTATGTGAAGGCTTCCCAAAGCCCTATAAATAGAGGTCCTCACCTTTACTTTGTACCCAGACTATGTATCCCTACCTATAATAGAACCTGTTGTTCTTATCTAAGATCTTGGAGTAGATCTTGTGCCCTAGGAGTTCTGGAGTGAACTCTTGCTGCCCTATCAGCCTACATTCGCCTCTAGAGCGATATCTAGCGCAGCACGTTGAAGCTGTTCCTTCAACACTTGTGCTGTACACATTGTAGCAGCAAGGTGGAGTTGCTCCTCCACAACCTTTGTGCTGCTTCAAATTATGTTTGCAATTGTTCCCATGTACCACAACATGAAGCTTGTATCCTCCACCTCTTTCACCTTCTGTCCCCTCCATTTGGTTTCTTGGACGCAAAGGATATCAACAACTCTCCTCACCATGAGCTCCCGTAGCTTACCTGCCAGGGACCCTACCATCCAGCTACCTAAGCGGATCCTACTAGGCTTGGCTAGCTTCCTTACCCTTTGTACTTATCGAGTCAAATGTGAAGACCGTTGCTCATTTTTCACTACACCCGGGCATCGATGTAGCGCGCCACTAAGGATGCAACAACCCAATCCTTGCTTGTCATCGTATCCAAATCAAGATACGACACGCCACCAAGGGGGTGACGGCCCAGCCCTTGCCCATTGGACACCACACTCGGGTTCCGATATGGCGCGTCGTTAAGAGGGTTACTCCCCAACATGATACAAAATGCAAAAATTCAAAGATATCAATTTTTAGAATCTGATTTTACTTCCATAGTTAAGAAGGAATACGATAACACAGACATGCTCAATAAGCACACAAGATGATGAGCATGATCGCAAAAGAAACGCAAATACTAATATGCAAGGTTTTTGAGTCGCCGACTAATCACCAAGTCGTTCGGAGCGAGGTTGGCTTGCGCAGGCGACTTGGCTAGAGGAGCGAGTCCCGCGGCTGGTAGGCTAGTCGACGATTAGTCCACGACTAGTCAGACGACTAGGACCTCAAAGTAGGGCGGCTTGCTTCAGCAAGGCCAAGGGAGGGAAGACCGGGAAGGTGAGGAGGCCTGATTCCAAGGCGAGGGAGGAGGAGACGAAGCTGGAGAGTGCGCCGCCTATACGAGGAGAAGCACGGAAGAGATGAAGGAGAAAGGCACATGGAAGAGCAGATGCACGGTCCAGATTAGAGCATATGGACGGTTTGGATTTTATTTGGAAGCTAGGGTTACATAATGGGCCTATTGGGCCAGCTCTCTAGCACGAAACAGAGGAGCAAGACGCGTGCTCCCATCCCAGATCAGAATCGCCGCCTCCATTGCTCCTACAGGCTGCTGCTGCCTTCTCCGAGCTGAAGTATCCTCCAAGCAGCTGCCTACCCCCTCCTCCGCCTGCAACAGCACCTCTTCCCCCTCCTCCTCCTCTTAACACCTGGGGCGACTTGGGGCGATTAATCACAACGAGTCGCAGACTAATCGCAGCGAGCCACTAGTCGGAGGCATGGCGACTCGACTTGGCTAGGCGACTCAAAAACCTTACTAATATGACTCGATACCCTTCTATTCTCTTGGTCCTCACCCTGGAGGCTTCTCCCGATGCTGCTATGTAGCTTCCAATATCATAGAATGGTACATGTCGGCGCGGCCTTGATCTCCATACTAACGCCAGCTTCACTATCCCCTGGTTAAACCCATGTCAGCTTCTCCCTCACCTGACGGTACCATCAATTCAATGCTGAGTCTCGACCATCTTACTCTTGACCCAGCTCTACCCTCTCTCATCCTATAGAAGGATTTGGGACTAGGGAATTCCATGGCCTCATCCTTCAATGCTGCCTCTCGCCACCTCACACATGGCAGCAATTAATACTTCTTTAGTGTTAGTAACAAGTCGAAGCAACTATCTATTCGAGACCTTTTAATTTGCACAAAATGGTTCGTTCTCTCTCTTCCTAGTAACAAGCTAAGTAATAGCTTGTGAAGATGCTCTTGGTGTGCAACTAAACCTAAATTTGCAAGGGAAATTGCAAACCTTCTAGTTAAGGTTGGATGGATAATTTGGATTCTGCAAACTCATGCTTTTATAGTAGTAAAGAGGTATAGATACAGAAAATAAAAACAGAGACCATGTTGCTCATATTGATGCAAATACAAGTTCTTTCTCTTGCAAATAAATAAATAATAGAGAAGGCCACATATGCAAAGAACAAGTCACATTAATGTTCTCTCCATTATGCAACAACGAAATAGCCACACCTGAATACAAACTAGGTGCTGGGTAAACAATGTTCTTGTATTGTTAGCTTCAGGCCTACACGAACTAAGAGCAATCAAAAGGCACTTCGACTAATTTCTAGCTCATCCACTATGCAGTTGGCTGGAATGTACCTGCAATATTCAGAATCAGCATCGGTCCTTAGTCCATGTAGTGAGGTGTTGTTTGGACAAAAAGCTCCTCATCTTCTTCATCATCATCGTCTTCGTCGGCACCTACCCAGTTGCTTGGGTGATGCTGCGAACGAGGGTTATCAACCACAACTTCTGTACCAAACAAAAAGCCAGTCAGCTGAAAATTCAGTGCCAACACAAACGTATGCATTTGATTTCTATGGGTGTTTGCTGAGATAGTTAACCAGGAGGCTCTTCCAAGTGATCCATTTGCACAGGCTGCTCTCTGTAGTATAAACTAGTTAAGGAAACAAGTTACCAGAAGTAGGATAGCAGAAATAACTCACGACTCAGATCTTACAACTCCCCAGTTATGACTCACAACAAATGAAAAATCTGCATTACCATCAAATATGTTGACATGATTTGCCAGTTACTTCTAGGAATTAATAAATGGTCGGTATATGATTCTTTTAGTGGAGTTGATATATGAACTAATTGCAGTAACCAGATGTATTTCTTTTTGGACTCGACATCTTATATCAGAAGTCACCATCTCTCAAATTGGAACACTATTTATCAGCGTATCTCCTACAAATAGAGTATATTACTATGGCTGTAATTTCACTCCTAACACAAGTTCAAATTACCTAAAAACATGTTATGGTTTGAACTAGCAGAAATGGAGTAGATACCCCAAAACTCTGAGGAAGATAGGTTAGTGAAGCGAGGGTTTGTCTGTGTAGTTCTACAACATGTGGTGAAAGATTCCATGTTGAGGGATGCTGGTATAGTGGTACTTCCTCCGTCCCAAAATATAGTGTGTATTATAATTTTTTCCGAGTCAAAACTTGTAGACTTTGACCAAGTTTAGAGGAAAAATATCAACATCTAAAACGCCAAATCAATATCATTAGATTCATCATAAAATATATGTTCACATGGACTAGTTGGTATTGTAGATATGGATAATTTTCTAAATAAACTTGGTCAAAAGTTTGTGAACATTGACTTACGCAAAAACCAATGTGCACTATATTATGGGACGGAGGGTGTATTACAATCCCAACTAAAGCATATCTCAACTATACTAGCTCAAATACCTAGAAAGGACAGGGAAATGACTTCTGTTATTGTGCCTGATTAGCTAATTTGATAGCTGCAAGGAGATATGCCAGATATATAGCTGGAAGTCCTGATTTTTGCGGTACCAAATTATATCACTCAAATAAATAATAATAAGTAAAGCGACTCAATAGATACACATAGTTTGCGTTATCTGTCACTCGTAGCTTGCAGGGAGCATTGGTAGTGGGAAGCACTGATGTGTCATTCAGTACGTTAGCTCTTCCATTTCTCTCCTTTTGGGCACGATTTTCTGCGTTAGCTTCAAAGCTTTTGGGAGTAACACCTGTTTAAGAAAGTTTGCTTATTTTAGATAGCTTTGATGATAGATGAACAGGACAGTGCTAGGATTAAAAGATCAAAGGAACTTTCTAGCACCAGCAGGTTTGTTTACACCCAGGCATGTGAAAGTCCATGCACTGTGATCTGACATTGACCTCACAAAAGTGGTCAACTGGTCATGATGTTTCATACAGGCGCTTTGGCCGCGTCTCATCTCAATCAGATCACAATAATGGTGCATAGTTCAGTGTAGAAATGCATGCCTGGAGTGTGACCATATCGATGGCTAACAAGACCTTTTGCCAAAATGATACACACCTGAAAGCTCTGACCATATTCTTGTATGGTTTGAGACATTTTCTGGAACTGGCGATGGTGCAGCAGCGGCAGCCCTTGGTTCTTCTGCATGATGTGCTGACGTAGGTGGCTGCTGAGGAACACTGCCATCATTTAGCTGTGATACAAGCATAGTGGCTAGAACTAGAGTTACATCGAAATTAGAACTTGATCCATCATCGAATCCAAATCTTGGAGCCAACAGGACAGGTCTGCAATTCAAACGAAGCCTCATGGGTCATGGGGACCAGTCAGAAAACATAACCAAATTCATCAACTAAACTACTTACTCGCCAGCCTTCTGATAGAATAGGAGAATATCAACCTCACATCCTTCACAAAATGTTAAAAATGCCTAGATTGAAAGAACAGAAAATATATCTGTCAGATTTGTGCAGTCACAGGTACCAGACCAGAAGACAGAGCCATCAATTGCCAAACCCTTCTTGTGTTGTTTTAGAAAGCAGAACTGAAGATAGTATTTCCTATTCTGAGCTCGACTACAAGTGAGGACACAAACATACAGTTATTCGCTGAAACCATTTCTACTTTTGCAAAGAACTATTCCTTGACTTGGTTAAAGGCAAATAAGTTCCAATTAATTTCCCATTTCAAAGGAGACATTACCTTATTTCTTTTAAATAAAGTTGACGATCTAAATCTTTTGCCATGAAGAGAGAAGAACAAATTACAGAATCACCTTCAATTCTTTCACCCCAAATGTGACATCTACGGGATCACCAGCATGCTCATACTCCAAGAACTCCTCTGCTGGATCGATCCACAGTTGTGTGTGCAGCCTACAGTCGTAGTCATCTGCAATTCCCAAACCACGTCACAGTTGACAGCCCCATAGAAATGTCACCACCACGCTATTTTTTGCACACCAAATTACCTTTGGTCGGGTCGATGTAGCTTAGGAGCTCGACTGCCTTCCCCCCAGCGCCATCACCGACGCCAGGCAACCGTGCAGCAGGCTCGGTGGCAATAACGGTGAGCTCCTGCAGCGAGGACTGGAAATTGGAGAGCAGGCGCGTGAGGTCCCGTGGCCGTATGGCGAGGCGGCTGGGGAAGCCGTTGCGGTCGAGCGCCAGAGTCTGCACGTCGGACTCCGCGCTGCACGAGATCCGGTGCGTCTTCTTACGCCCTTGACAAGACAAGACGCGGGAAGGCACATGATCAGCTCAGAGCGGCAAAATTTGGGAAAGAGCCGAAACGGCAAAAATTGGCGGGAAAACAGGGAAAATGCGCGGCGATGTTGACAAAAATGCGGAAATTTTGAGCACGTCAATGGCAAAACCCTAGAGGGAGGGAGGGAGGGATGGGCTGGGAACATGTACCGCTGACGCAGTGGATGACGAACTCGAGCTTGGACGCTTGGGAGTTTGGGAGCGAAGCGTTGAGGCGGTCGATCGCGGAGGTGGGCGTGCGGAGCACAGCGAGGACGGACTTGAGGAGGACGCTGCACTGGAGCGGCGTGGAGGACGGCGCGGCGTCGGCGTCGGCGGGGAGGTGGAAGTGGTCGAAGAAGTCGCGCATGAGGGAGACGGACGCGAACGCCGACCGCGAGCTGTTGAGCGTGTGCAGCTCCAGCTGTAAGTCGAAGGCGAAAACATGAGATTAGAAATCGTGAGAAGCGCCCGCCGCGCTCCGGTGAGGAATGGCATGTGTGGGCAGCGAGGGGAGACGGCGCACCTTGTCGGGGTAGGCCTGGAAGACGAGGTCGGAGCCGATGCGGGCGAGGCAGGTGACGCAGCGGGAGAAGGTCCGCAGCGCGCCGCCGCTCATCGACAGCTCCATGGCCTGTCGCGTTTGGGGGTTTCGGGGGTTTGGGGAGAAAGAGGAGGAGCGGGAGGGAAGAAAACAGGACGTGGGCTTTGGAGTATTGGGCTGGGGCCCAGCCCAATAACAGTACGCCACGGCCCCTCTGTCTCGCTGCCGGTGGGTCCACGACAGGACCCTCTAGGGTTTACGAGCCCTCCCTCTGGCCGCTCCTGCTATAAATTCCCGGCCCTCACACACCCTTGCGCCGCCGCCGCACCAGCTTCTCTTCGTCCTCCCGCAGCGCCTCCTCCTTTCTGCCACCTCCTTTCGGTAATCTGTTGCTCGATCTTGTATGTCCACCATCCTGCGTGTTGGTCGATTCGATCCCATCCTACGTCTTGACGTCTTCTTCTTATCACCAAGTATAAAGTATATTGTTGCTAGCGCCGTAGTGCTTGGTCAGGATCTATGACTAGCCTAGTATGCGATGCTTTGCGTAGTTTCGTCCCTGTAACCGCAAGATGGAGCAACTATGCTCCTGGATTCGTGGTTAATCGCGCGTTTGCGACCCAGATCCTGTTACTATTTTCGTAATTAAGTAGCAATCGATTCCTGCCATTTGTTAGGGTTGATAAGAATATTTCTGTTGAATGATGTCGCTAGATTCTTGGACACAAGGTTGTGGCTGGCTAACCATGACCTTCCCTCTTGTGCTTAGTTTGTGCCTCAACTGTTTCTGCCATTTGCAGTCGCTGTTGCTGTGCCACTCCCCCACCAGCCGCCACCATGCAGAACGAGGTGGGTGACATGGTGGACCTCTACATCCCCAGGAAGTGGTATGCACACCCTCTTTAGTCTGATGGTGTGTGTTTTGCACTGGTGGACGCCTGCTAATCATTTTCTTCTGCTTCTTGCAGCTCGGCCACCAACAGGATCATCACGGCCAAGGACCACGCCTCTGTCCAGATCAACATTGGTCACGTTGATGAGAATGGCCTCTATGATGGCCGCTTCACCACCTTTGCTCTCTCTGGGTTTGTCCGTGCTCAGGTAATCATCTTTCTTGTGTATTGATTGAACTATGTGTGTGGTCACAAGTTTACTCTCATCAAATTTCTATTTTCAGTGATCATGTTACTCTAAGCTCAGTCGTATCTTAAAAGGAAATGGAACACTTGTTGGATATTTTCTATTGGTGGTGCATACTTTTGCTTATGTTATAACCTGATAATCTTGACCTGACTCGGTGAACATGTATTTTCATCTCTACTTTGTCTTATCCTTCCACTGAAGTCATTGTTTGAAGACTTGTCTGGCTTTTAGTTCTGAGAGTTCCTAGTTATCTCACTCAAATGGGTGCTCAGTATCATCATGTTATCTGATTCAAATCGATGCTCAGTACTATCATGTTATCTACTTTGGTTATTGATAATTTGAATTCAAAGTGTCGATTACACACTTAACTAAAAATTCTTGTAACTGTTTTGATAATTGTTGGGTGCATTCATGTCTTGTATCATATACATTGCTGGGCGCTTACTGCTCGTTATGCTTTGCCAGGGTGATGCTGATGGCTCCCTGGACAGGCTGTGGCAGAAGAGGAAGGCTGAGATCAAGCAGCTCTAGATGTTGCTACTAGTTTTACCTGGAACTTGTTTCCTTCCCATGTCTACCTAGCTCTTGGATGTCTGTGGTTAGTTTCAGTTGCTACTATGGAAGCTAAGACTTGATGTCACTAGGCCTGGTTTCTTGTGAACATGTTTTGAGTTTAATCTGTGTTGAATGCTTGATATGTGTACCTTATCTCGTTGCTTAATGTCATACTGATGATTTGGCCCTTACTTTACTAGCAAATTATGGCCATACTGATGATTTGGCCCTTACTTTACTAGCAACTTTATTCGTACTTCAAAATGCATGTACTCTGCAGCACAAGTAAGCGCACATTTTGCTATGCAAAAGACATCAGACGCTGCACTTAGGCCTATCTTATTCCATCACACTATTTCTATTATTCTGGCTGACGATTAATGCTGCAATTATTAATACGGATACGGGCTTAGTTAATTTGCTGGTAAACGGCTTGCGAAGAAACTCTCGTGCTATCTTGCCGTTTGCTCCTTCCGGGTAGAAGCCACCAGGGATCATGCTCGTTGCCGGTGAGGTAGAGGATCCTGAGCAACTCGGCCGGTGTCCGGGCGTAGGAGAGGGTGTCGCTGTCGGCGGAGAGCACGTAGGTGCAGATCTTGCCCTCTGCGCTGAGCTCGGGCGGCACGGTGAGCCCCTCGTCCTTGAGGATCTTTGGCCTAGGGAAAACCCACCCACCGTGTTCTGGATGGCCCTGCAACCAAAGTGAAGCTAGATTGAGAGCAGGTGAAAACGGCAGTGTGGCTTCGTAATTTCCCCCCGGAAATTGCTGCCATGAACTTTGATTGTATCTCTATTTTGTTAGCTAATATAAATACTCTTTCCCCGCAAAAAAAAAAGTGAAGGGCAACATATGGATTTTCAGTACCAACTTGCTTCCATCTAAGTGGATTTTCAACGTAATAATAATCAGGTAGAGTAATAACGGTAAAATGCTGTGATGGTTGCACGCATAGCAGACCTCAGGTGTCCGACCTGTTGAAGGGCAAACTCCGTGGCGATGCGCCATGTCGCCCTTTGCCGAACGCCGCTTGGAGGAAGAACACCGGGACCGGAACGTGTGTGGAGCCGGTGGCTGGCAATGAGGCCCGCCGCAGTCCGAGGCCTGCACTGCCACCGCTGACGCCTTGGCAGGAGGGCAGGTAGGTGTCACAGCGGTGTTGCACACCACCGTGTGACAACCAGTTGGCATGGCCAGTTGTCCAAGTGTAGCGTGCGTGGGGCGTGGGGTCCACCTGTAAGCCACTAGGGCCAGGAGCCAGCAGGCGTGCGTGTGTACTTAAGCCTTAGAGATGGGCGTGTTTCGTCAAGCCTGAAGAAGTAAACTGATTCCCCTCACCGCTCATCCCCTTCTTCAAGTTTCTCTCATCCCCTTCTCCAGATCCACCTCTGGCCTATTCTGGTCGCCCTGCGATCCAGATCAGGGCGTTACAATTGGTAATCAGAGCCTCAGATCCTGTCCCAAATTTTTTTCCGCTGCGGCCTCTTGAATTGGATCGGTAACATCCACCGCCTCGAGTGTGACTTGCTCCGGCGAGATCACGCAAAATCCCCGGCGGGGTTCGATCTAGCAGGGGTGCGAGACGGCACCAGCCAAGCCCTCCGTCCAGACCCGACAGTTGCTGGCGGCCATGGACGACAACACCACCAGCCTCAAGGCCATGATGGAGACGATCCTTGCACGCCTCGACGAGCAGAAGGTCGACAACGACAAGTGGCTCGAGGCGCAGATCGCCTTCAACACCCAGGTCTCGCAAGATCTGCGCTCCCTCGCCAAGCAAGTCGATCTCACGCAGGCGGATGTCGACGAAACTCGCAAGGCGCTGGAGCGATCGCCCTCATCGTCGGAATCGCACTCCCCGACCGTGATCCATCCACCACCACCGCCTCCGCGCCCCCAAGCCCCGGCGCCACAGCAACCACACGGGCCGCCGCCGTCTCCGCGCCTCTCGGACCAGCGGCCACCCCTGTTGGCCACGGCGCCACAAACTGGAGTCCAATTTCCGCACCAACCGTACCACCAGTCCGGCGAGGCGCATCACCAGCAGCAGCACCATGGCGACCACTACGTCAAGCCGCCGAAGCACGACTTCCCACGCTTCGACGGCAGCGCGCCTTACCTCTGGCTCGACTGCTGCCGAGCGTATTTCGACCTCTACCACGTGCCGCCGTCGAGCTGGGTGACCACGGCGACACTATACATCGAAGGGCAAGCGGCTCACTGGCTTCAGGCATTTCGCCAAACACATGGCGGCCTCGGATGGGACGCGTTCTGCACGGCGATTACAGAGGAGTTCGGCGTCGATGAATTTGAGATGGAGATGCACAAACTGCTGCAACTACGTCAGATCGGCACGGTCAGCGAGTGTCGCAAGGAGTTCGATACATATATGTATCATCTCCCAGCGCTCGAGCCGTCCCTCTTCATCACCCAGTTCTTGTTGGGCCTCAAGGACGAGTTGCGCGCAGCAGTTCGGCTGCAGGCGCCCAACAACATCACGCGTGCGTCAATTCTCGCTCGCATCCAAGAGGAGGAGTTGAACACGCCCAGGGCGCGCCCACGACCGCAGCCGCAGGGTCGTCCACCTCCCGAGCCCGCCCGCCCGCCAGCCGACAACAGCCCGATGACTACGCCCGCGAGGGACAACTCAAGGAGTTCCTGCGCGCCAACGGACTCTGCTTCAAGTGAGGAGATCGGTACACTCGTGATCACCGCTGCAACATGCAGGCCCCGCTGCTCACCATTCAAGTTGGTGCATACGGGGAGCTGCTCACCGACGACACCGTGCACGCGCTTGATCTGCTCGACGCCCCGCAACAAGAAGCACTTCCTCCAGAGTGTTGCACGATATCAGCGCACGCGCTGGATGGCTCGGAGGCGCCCAGCACCATTCGTCTCCGCGCGCTTGTGGGCAACCAAGTCATGTTGCTTCTGCTGGACTCTGGGAGCACCCACAGCTTCGTCAACAAGTCGTTCGTCGAGCGCGTTGGGGCGACAACACAAGAGATTGCCACCTTGGATGTGCGGGTGGCCAACGGCGACCGGCTCACCTGTTCGCGCCAAGTTCCAGAGCTCCAGTGGTGGATGCAGGGCCACACGTTCTCGACGCCGATGTACGAGCTCGACACAGGCGCCTACGATGGAATCCTGGGCATGGACTGGTTGGAGAAGAACAACCCAATGACTTGCCACTGGAAGGAGAAGTTCATCTCCTTCCTGCACGAGGGCGAGACCGTCACGCTACAAGGTGTTCGACCGAAGTCGACACCCACTCTCGCAGCGGTGCAGCCGGCAGAACTATGCAAGTTGATCGCCGGCAATGATATCTAGGCAATGGCCATGGTCGAGATGCAGCCCCCCAAACCCAGGCCACGCAAGCCCTCGCAGA